CCCCAAAACCCCAAAACCCCAAAACCCCAGGATTCAAAATATTGAGAAATATAGCATAATTCCATAAAATATTTAAAAATAAAATCTTCTAATTTATATATTACTTATTTTCTAGGATTTTAAAAATTCTGGATTTTAACAAATCAAAGCGTTATTGACTCTATAAAATCTAATTTTTCTTCCTTGGAAAATAAAGAAAAAGCTATTTTTTAAATCAAAAATCATCTTAGATAGACTCTAATCTTAATAATCCACTTTCTTTTTTATCCTAGTTTAGGTTATCATTATCTTTATTATCGTTTCCAAAATCAATCATTTAAACCTTACTAAATATTTTCTTATTATTCAACCATTAATCTCTAGGATAGTTTTCCTGACTCTTAAATGTCGATTGCTTCTTCCACGTATGATTTGCTTTTTAATCAGACTTTATCATTATCATATCATTACTTTGGTCTTATTATTAATTTTGATTTATGATAATTTATTCTATTTGTTTGCTGGTCTCTTCATCAACATAAGAACTACTCTATATCCTGTTTTAATCTTAATTTAGTCCTATTTTAATGTATTTCCTGTCATAAAATTCAAACTTGGGTAATTGTGGCTTATTTTAACTTAATCTATTCATTGTTTCACTTTTTTTCTAAACTTAAGCGAACCTAACACTTTTTTGAGTGGATAATTTATTTATATTTTGGTCTGTCTTACTATTTTTCTTCAATGATTGATTCGACTTCATTACTTTATTTTTCATTATTCTTTCATGCAGACTTTTTGGACTCTTAGTTACTGAATTCGACTAGTTAAATGATATATCAGTGGCTATAGTCTGCTTACTCAAAATAAGGGACGACTATTTGGTTATATTTTTCCTGCGAATATTTGACTTTTAGACATCTTAAAACAATAATGGATCAATTTCTAGAAGATCTGTGTTTCTTTAGCCTTACCAGTTTAATTTCGTTCTTCCCTGCATTAGATCTATTGATGATTCAATTGATGGTATCACTGTTAACTGTTATAAAGTCATTGAACTAAACTCTTTTCTGTATGTTTGATAAATTTCGTCTAATTTTCCCTCGAATCTATTGCGATTTCTTTGAGATCTGATATTTAAAATTTGCCTTTTGCTTCTGATATTCTTCCCAATTTATTCAGATTTTTATTTTTATATTATTTAAGCTTTGTTAACTATATGATTGATTGCTTCCTCATTTATTCTAAGCATTAACTTCTCCAATTTCAATTTGTTTATTTTCAATTTTTCTTGTTTAAAAGCATGCTTAATTTAATCAATATTATTTTCTAACTGCTCGCACCAAATCATATTTTCTATATCTTGCTTCTGTTTGATCATTATTTTATCATATAATTTTCTATTGTTACATAATAATACTACTAAATAGAACCTGGGGAATCTGAGACTAATGTACTACTTAAATTCCATAACAAAGTATGAAACCCAAAATAAAAAGAAAATAATATTTGAACTGATTATTACAGCAAGAAATATTGTTTTAGCAGCATCTGAGATATTCAAGAATCCATATGAATATGAGCTATTCTCAGTTATCCAATCATCAGTTTAGTTTAAGATGAGAAATATCCCAAAAATTGTTGTCAATATAGAAGTAATAATTGATATGTTCTCTAAATTATTGAATTTCTTAGATGAAAAAGGCTTTATCTTTATGTTTAGGATTAAGAAACTAAAAAGGTTATTCAATGAAAACTTACAATATTAGAACGAATAGCATCAAAAGTGCTTATACAGTAATCCCATAGTTGCTTACGAAAATAGAAACAAATAGAATAATGATCTTTCTATACATAATAACCACTTCCCAGTAATAGTAAAATAATCTGTAGCCTCTATATAAAAATCCATACTATTAATCAATTCTATGATTAGTCAATTTATCTCTTAATTCTAATAGCTAAATTAAGACATACAGTGGAATTCCTATGCCCCAAATGACAATGTTTGGCATACATATTAAATAACCAACTAAATTATGCATCATGTCTCCACATTCCACATTTAGATCATCATATAGTTTAGATTAATCCCCAATTTGCAAGCATCTATAATGTGACAAAGAATATCTGACCAAGGTTGGATGAACTAAAAACAATAGAATAACTATGCTCATCTTTATTTTCACGTTCAAATAACTACTCTTTTTTGAAACTGACTGATAAATTTTCCAAAATGAATAGCAGGCCCCGAATATTAGCAAAGGGACCATAGTAATCAGCATCAATTTTTGGAAGTATAATCTGTCATAGATTTAAATTTAGTCTTGTGGTATTTAACCTATTCTTCTTTTATCAAGTAAGCAGTCAATACTGAAAAGTTATGTTGATATTTAACCTAAATTCTCTGTAATACTAAAGAGATTTTATATTTCTTCTGACCATTGGAATTTGAAACTTGAAGTTAAAATCATTAGTTAAAAATGATTTAGCAATATTCTGAGGTAAATACTGGTAACATTTTTTGCTTCTTAAACTCCGATTATTGATTAGCGGACAATCAAAGCAGCAAAAAGAGAAATGAAAATGACAATAGCTATCAATCTAATGACATTATCGTAGTCCTTTGGGCATTTTAAACACTGATGATTTGAATTTCTTGAATAGCCTTATATGCATTCTGCACATAATAATCCTTAATATCCCTCTTTACAATCTCCAATATAGTTATGAGTTTATTAATTTAATCCAATGCATGCTTTCTAATATATACAGCTAACAAATTTATCAGAATCATTGCTCACTCTCCAATATCCTGGCTTAGGTCCAATAATGTTTCCACCAAGACAAATTGCTTAGCCAGTAGGACAAAGTTTGCACCTATTTGGAGAAGTCATTATCTCTAATGAATAACTGTTCTAGCATTCCACGCATTTACCCGCTGAAGTGAAATACTCTCCAGCAATACATCCTCTAAAGGATATTTCAATTTCAAGTTTATAGTTAGAATTACCTGAATTTTTTAATTACTCTTGAATAGAAAGTTTAGATTCATCAATAGCATCAGTAGTCAAAATTAACTCATAACTTTAACCAGGATTACCTGTGAAATTGATATCTTTTATGACTACTACTCCTCCCCATAATTCATATATGCTTTGTCCCTCAATAAAAGGAGGATACAAGCTTTATGAAGAAGAAAGATTTGATGTATCAAAGTTAATTCTAACTTTATTTTTAAAGTCAGATCCTACTATTTAACCATATTTATCAACCAGAGCTATATAAATTTCTTGACTTTATCCACCACTTCTGAGATTAGGGATTTACGTTTCTTCATTATTTTTTTGTAATAAATCATCAGAGTCATAATATTATTCATTATTTTGTTCGATCAACTCTCTGATAGTAAAATTCGCTAATTTTTATATTTAGTACTTATATTATTCTTGACTTATCTTTTATAATCTAAATCCGAATGTTCCAATATCATCACCATATATGACAGCAAAGTTTTTCTTGAATTTAGAATTGTTGCTTTAATGAATTAATAAAGGCTCTAATTGAGTCCAAAATATAGCTCCACCTTAAATAGAAGCAAAATTACTTTCGAAAGTATTGTTGTTAATTAAATCTAGATTACAACTGAGGGAATTAATCCTACATGTATAAAATATTGCCCCACCTGATCCTTACTCTTATTTTATTTATTCAATATCTTCAATACTAGCAATAGCACTGTTGTTCTTAAATATGGAATCTCGAATGACTAGACTTTCTTAATTATTTGTAAAAATAGCACCACCTGAAACTGCAGAACAGTTAATAAAAAGGCTCTTTTGTATGGAATATCGCTATATATTTGTATTAGCTGAATTTTGCTATTAGTAGAGATTTACTTCCTCTATATAGATTGCTCCTCCTTATGTACCTTACAAATTCATGAACTTAGAGTTTCTAATATCAATCATTTTACAGTTAAAGGAATAAATGGCAGCTCCTCTTGTTAAAATAGGATTTCCATAAAAATTTTTAAATTCTAGCTTATTTGCAAAAAATTAAGCTTACTATACATGTATTGAGTTTTGAGAATTAGGACTAGTTAAAGAGACTTAACTTAAAATCACTTAGTTATCTGAGTTTGTTAGATAGAGATCCCCTCCTCCATCTTATATAGCTTTGTTATTAATAAAACTTGTTTAGTTACCAATATAAATATCCGCAAAACTTTATGCATAAATAGCACCTCCTTTATCAAAAGCAATATTACTAATAAATTGAGAATTAGATATCTTAACAGAGCTCATGCCAGTAATAAATAATGCTCCGCCAACTTATGAATGACCATTTCTAAAAATGCTATTCACAATATCCAAATTCGCTTCAAAGGCTAATTGAACAAAAGCACCTTATATCTAAATTAGGCTAAGATCATAATTAGAATAATTAATCCATTCATCAGTAAACTAACAATCATTGATACTTAAATTTGAGAAAGTTGCAAGAATATTTTTAGATTTTTTCTCTGCATAGTTGTATTAAAATGTAGACTTATCAATAATTATTGATGCAAAGAATAACATAATTGTATTTTGAGTAGCTTTATTCTTGATAAAATCAGATCCTTTAATTGTTACATTCAGTAATGTATTAGAACCAATTACTTACAATACAGAATTTTCATTTGCAATATTAGACTAAAATACTGATGTTAAAATATGAAGCTCTGAATTTGTTGATTATAATATAACTCCTGCTTATGAGAGGGCCTAATTATTTCTTACATCACAATTTTCGAGCATCAAAGTAGAGGATGTGGTTAATTAGAAAACACCTCCTTCGTATGCTAAATTATTCAAAAATTGAGTTCCATAAAAATTCATTGAGGAGTTAGAAGAATATATAACACCACCAAAAATAGCAGAGTTATATCTAAATTTAGATCCTGAATCTACCAAAGTTGAGTTCTATAAATTGAAAACTCCTCCATACTATTAGGAGCCACAATACTCAAAGATATTGTATTCCAATTTTATCAATTCTGCATTCATAAGCAAGAAGTTACCTTCATTATCAGACCTATACTCTTAATTTTGAAGTTTAATTTTATCATCATATCAATTGAAACTCGTATTACATACAATAGTGCACATGCTAAGTGTTATATTTAATCCAATAGCTTAACTGTAAATAATCGAACCTTAGGAAGCATAAGAATCCTCAATTTTGCAGTTTATCATTGTAAAATTTAATCCATAAACAAAATAAGCTATACCTCCTAAATGAGCTGCTTGGTTATTTTTGAATTCAGAAAATATTATATTTATATCCCCTAATTGAGCATTTGAATAAATAAATCCTCCTTATTAAGCTTTGTTGTCGTAGATCTTACAGTTTAATATAATTATCATCATTGGAATCGACATCTCTTATTCATTAACATTGGTTATTTTTAGGATTGAGCCCTAATCTCCAGTATTGTTTTATATCAACATATTCATCATTGATACTACTATACCAAAGTAAGAATAAATTATAGCAGAAAAGTCAACTTTATTGTTTTTAATAATAGTTTTATCAAGGATCATTGAGCAGAAATTGCAATATATAATACCACTAGTTTCATCATATTAGGATTCACTCACGAAATCTATAAACGTTGACTTTACATCTTGATAGTTAGTGTAAACTAGATATAAAAATGGACCATTCAATGAAGATCCTATAAACTAACATCTAATTGTTTATAATGAACCACTTTAACTGGAAATCAAACCTCCATAGAAATACGGTATTTAATTCTTATACTCTTCATAGTTATTTCCATCATATTTTAAATCAATTATAGAATCTCTAATAATTGCTATGCTATCTTAAGTAAATTATCCGAATGGAGAAGCACCATCTGAGAGAAAATGTTTAAAAAATGATTTTCTATATCCAACTAATGAGCTTATTTCGATTCTAAAATCTCCATAATATCCCTCAAATAACGATCCTCCTATTATTTTCTGCCCAGCTTTAATTACTCTCACATCAACAACTTTAATTGATTAAATTATTAATTTATCCGTCCATAAGTTAAATTGAGTGATTATTGCTCCACTTGTATTATGCTTAATATCATAGAAGCTACAATTTCTAATAGTTGTGTTTCCTTATCTTGTTTAAAGTGTGGTATTTTTTAGTTTAAAGATACCTCCGTTATCATTCGTTGCAAATGAAGTATGATTTTTGAAATAGCAATTATCTACAAAAAACTTTTGAATGTCAGTCCCTATTATCATTGAGGTCAGAATAGATGTTAGATTGATATAGGTGTTATTTATCATGTAAACATCTGATTTTTAAAAGTTATATAATCCATTGTAAGTGCCTTTGTTGTTAAGATATATTGAATTTGTGTCAATGAACAATTATGTATCCTTCATTGTTTAGATTAAAGGTACTTCCTAGTTTTCATCAGGAATATTGCAATTTTAAAAAACCATCCTATTTATCATCACCTACTTTGCTGAAATAAATTTCATTACTCTGTTCAGATTTATTTTTTTAATTTCTTAAATTTCTTCCTATTCTAATCTTCTTCGTCTTGTAAGTATAATTATTACTCCTGTTCCACTGGTATCTAGAGCATCAACTTTTTCTGGGTCCTCTGATAAAATTACATCTTCAAATTAACTTGTTCTTAGCTTACTCAAACTAAGTTCTTATTCTTACTAAAATTATGTTGAATGTGTATCTTAGCATGCTATGCTGGATGAGTTCATATAGTATTATTCTCGAACTTCCTAAACCAAAATGAATGTAACTCTAGAATAATGATAAATAGCATTTTGAGAGAAAAATTATCCTTCATAGTTTGATATGTTGTAAACATGCATGTCATTTATAAATACATTCTAAGCCTCAACTACTTATATCAGTCCATTATCCTCGCATTTTGAATTTGAAATTTAAACGCTGTTCAAAATGAAAGTGGTGCTCCAGCTAGATAAATACATTGCAGAGGCATAAGAAGATGATAGATTGTTAAAGTAGGAATCTTAAATAGTGAGCTTTTACTGAATATTTTTTCCAAATACTAGATTACGGAGAATTTCGTATGATAATCCAGCTGAGACTTAAGATTAAGAATTTTCAATAGAAACATTTTTTAAAAAGGCATTTCCAACTGAATTGTTTATTGAGATTGAACCTCCCTTAAATTTAGCAAGATTTTCATCAAATATAGCAGAATCAATGTAAATTTCTTAAGTTCCTTAAAGATAGATTCCACCTCCATATTCTGCTTAATTATTAAAGTAAACTGAACCGAAATCTAAAAAACTGCAATTCGAGACATAGACTGCTCCTGCAAATTTCGCTCTAAAGTTATTTCTAAATTGATTATTTTTAAAAATAATCTTATTGCAATCTTATAGCATGAGAGCTCCAAATTATGAAAAGTATTCATCTGTGGCCTGATCAAATTATTGTAAATACTATGGTGTTTATTCAAATACAGTACCATTTATTAGGATTTCAATGTTATTGCTGTAGCTTAAGAGGGCAGAAGCATTGATACTACTAAAATAATCTTATATAAGGGAATCAACTATTATTATGTTTGAGGATGCTTTAGCATGAATAAACCCTCCTTCTCCGTTTATAGATGCACTATTATACTAACTAATGTTCCTTAATTAAATATTAATATGGGCATTTTCACAATATATTCCACCTCCGTTATCATATGAAAATGTCTTGTTGTAAATAGTATTCTCGATAAGTAAAGTCTTATTAAGTTTGAAAGCAGATTAATCTTAATAAAGTGCAATAAAACCTCCTTTTGTAAATGATATAGAGTTATTGAAGGAGGAATTAGTGATTGAAATTTAATTTTATCCTATTGAATAAATAACGCCACCTTCATTAGCTAAACTATCTTGAAAAGTAGATTTTATTAGGCTAATATTGCAATTTTCGCAATATATGGCTCCTCCCTAGTTTGCATAACTATTTGTAAAAGTAGAAGAATTATCTGAAATGGAACTGTTCTAGAGAAAGATTACACCTCCCTTCAAACTTGATTAGCAATTTACAAACTGATTCCTGCTAGTTTAAGATTATTGCAAGTTATTTATTATTTTAATTGCTGAACCTTTTTATATAGAAGAAATTTTCAAAGTTTATTCATTTTTTAATTGAGTCTGGTTTTACCTTAAGTAAGCTAAATTGAAGATCTCTTCATTATAGTTAGATGTGAGGGAGCATTTGAATATGTTGTCTTCTAATACTATCTATCCTGATCCTATTGAGTATATGAAAGAGTTAGAATTGCTATTTTGAATATTAGCTCCTTTCAATATAAAAGAATAAAAGTTCTTTAAATACGCTATACCTCCATAATTTGCTTCAATATTTGTAATTAATAATTAACCATTGATTTCTATATTTATTTTTTCACCATCAACATAAATTAATCCTCCTTCTCCATCATTTTTTACTACTAAATTATTGATTAATGTGGATCCTTCAATTTTTATTTTAGAGAAAATTTATATCTCTTAGTTGGTTTCAGCGTAAATTAATGCTCCCTATTTTTTCGATTACAACTCTTGATAAGCAAAGAGACCAGAGATAGAAAGATTTGAGCTCTAATTCAAGTATATTAATCCACCAATGCTTGCGCCAATATTTTTTGTAGTCAAATTAAGAATACTTATATTACTAGCTTATATGTTATAGACTCCTCCTATCATTGAGCTACAATTTATATACGATGAGAATGTATCTGAGAGAGTTGATTCAATAACAGTAATTAATGAGCCTTGCTAGAATAAATAGCAATTTTAAAACGTATTGGAATTGAGCCATATATCTACTTAATTTTATACAAATATCAAGGGCAGATAATAATCATCTGAGCCATCAAAGTCAAGAATATTCTCATTGCTTAATGGGGGAGTAAAGCAATTAATTGATGAATTTTAGATTAGTATTTTAGCATTGAAAGCTTATGAGTTTAGTAGTTATCCTATTGTATTAGATTTTATGTTCAATATAATAATGCCATCTATTTCTAAAGACAGTACTTATTCAAGATATATAAGTGATGTCTCACCATTTGTGACAAAATTTTTTACAGTCAAATTCTATATTCTTATTGACGCATTTGGGTTATTCGAATATATCAATCCTTTGATTTTACAATCTTAATTATCAAGTTTCATATCTATTTCTAAATTTTTAATAGTATAATTGCTAATTGCATTACCATCTGCAATCAAAATATATTCACATTCACTAGAAAGATTTCTGCGAGTAAGAGATTCATACTTTTCCAAAACTACTTAACTGTCTTACTCTTTGATACCATCAAATTCCTTAGTTAATACTTGATTATAACTTTCTACCATATTTATATCAAGAGCAATAGATTTTGATAAAGAATAACTCTGCATATTTGATATATTCTTTTCTTGCTATATAGATCTTGTTGACTCTTACTTGTTATCATTGTTTTGAGATTATCTCTCTCCTATTTTTATTTAAAGAGCTTCTTAAGATTTACTTCCAAGCATAATTTCCATTTAAACGGAGAAGCATATTTACTGCTTAGGGGAATTATCAATATTCTACGATGAATTATCATTGCCAAACTAATCACTAGTTGCTAGGCTGATAACATTTTATATTGGACTTAAAGTTTTTATGCTTATTTCATAAATTTGGTTCTCTGTTTAATTATCCTTATAATAGTTTGAATTTTAAAAAGTATTTCCTCAGATATTTCTATTTTCTACAAGAGACATCATTATTATCTAATAATTCCTTAAATCAGAGTTTTGAAGTACGACTTCAATTGAGATCTCATTATTTAGTTATTCTGAGGACTTTTTACTGCTTTATATTTCGTTCATAAAATATATGATCCAGAGAAACTAGGAAATATTTGAGTCTATATAGTCATTCATAGTCCTATGAAAATAAGCATCAAATTAAACCTCCATGTATTTCTCTAATGTTCATTAATAGATGATTTCACATCATTAAACTGAAAGCCCTTTTTAGATTATTGGGGGAGATTCATCACATTTGAAGATGAATGGTTCTATGTTTTGACATTAAGATGCTAGAAATAATGATATATTTACCTTCTATTAATGGCATTTAGTAACAATAGTATCCATTTTAATTTAGCTGTGAGAATATTTCAATATTGTTCATAGATTTAGGATGTATTAAAAATATTAATTATTTAGCTTATACATAAACATTGCTAATACTTTTTATTGATATATTCCATTAGCTTATTTCTTAATTAATATCGCATAATTTAGCCCTAAGGGGTTTTGGGGTTTTGGGGTTTTGGGGTTTTGGGG